GACACGCAAGCCTCGTTGAGGCAATAATTGATTGGAACTGTAAATGCTCTCAATCTTATTAAGGGAGAGTGTAACGGGGTAACACGTACCCTGGTAACAGGGGTGTGTGTCACACGAGGTGGGTATTGTGTGATTGCACCCATATAAATATACGGTACGCAGCTGGGAAGCCAGTAGTTATGCATGTTTTTAGAATTTTCTATATATATTTAGAATAATCTATACATTTAAAATCAGGCGGCTTTGCCACAGATGAAACAAATAACCACAATCTACATTTTAAACAGAAAAGTTTTTATTAGCCTTGAGTTAAGGTTCCAACTACTCTTGGAGGTAGCGGATTGCGATCCGCTACACTCGTACTGGTTCTTGTGAAGAACGTAAGGTCGGTGACGTAAATTATGCTTCGTCTAAGCGCAAAGCTACGGCTGCCCCGCCGCACCCTACGTAAGGCGCGTAAAGGTTTATCGAATCGAGATCCCGCTACTCACCAGTCTAATTGTCACGGGGAAACGACAAAGTCCAGCAGGCGCGAGGCGCCCTACTGGGGAAGAACTAACTTCTGTTGAAACTCAAAGAGGTAGAAGGCAGCGGGGCTCAGCCCCTAAGAGTTTCGTGCTCTTAAACACGAAACGTGTATGGAAGCCGAGCTTGTCGTAAAAACACCGTGAAAGACTTTGGCAAGCCTGGAAAGATCCTGATCGATTTTGGAGCGTCGAGTTGTTATACATGACGCTCCACGATCGAAGGAAGCAAGCTGTATGCTGAGGCGCTGAATGCGCAGTAGAGTGACACCGTCACTGTCCTTTAGTGACGCGGACTTGTGTCACTGTGTCGAGGGACCCTGTGGACCGCGGTGTCAAGTTTTTTATTTCGATAGCGTGAAACGCTGCTTTGTCTTAGAATTGGATGCAAGGTATGACCTTATCCTTGGTGTGGCATAACTTTACTCTTGAACGGAGTAAATGGAAAGGCTGTCAATCCCTCTCACCATCTTCGGCAAAAGCGATAAGATCCACTTCGTTAGTTTCAGTTCGGATTATGTGCAGGGAATCCAAAACGGTGAGGCTTCTGAACGATATGACTGATCACGGAAAAAATGCTGGAGTTTGTCATCCATCATATACAATTCTGTAACTCAAGGCTCTCTCGATGCACTGAGTACGAGGGATGGGACAGCTATGTTATGCCTCTTATTTATGTTGTAAGGAAAAGAAAATGACGTGGTGACGAGGAGTCCACGATGCGTTTTACTTCGCTTGTTAGAAATATGCACATTTACCACATGCCGTTAGCAATTCTAATTCAGAAATTCGCTGCGAAGTGTGCAAAATTTCCTTTCACGCACCAAACCCGATTAGTACTTTAAACAAAAGAGAGTGTTAATACTGCCACATTGATACCTTTGTATTGGGCCATCGCCGGTAAATGCAATGTTCTGGCTCTGAGGACCAAGTCAATTACACGACAAACTCCCCTGTCAGGACGAAAACGCCGATTTTCTGTCGAGGGCTATACTGCAGAACAGCATGATCGACAGCTCACTATCTAGTGTTCATGATATGACTGATGATCAAATTCAATGCTGATAAGAGACAGAGATACCCCCCTCAATAATCCGAGCGGAATGCTCTGGGTTAAGTGGTTTTGCCAAAATTACTATCTAATACGGTAGAAACCTTTGATTGTCTGGTGAGACGCTTATTAAGGCTATATCGAAACTAAGCACGAACCTATTCCGACGATGCGCCTATCGATAGTCATGTAGAGCACGAACAAACGGATGTAAAGGACCACTCTAAGATCTTGCGAGTCGTCATCAGCATTTGCGCTTAAATAAGTTATTCGCATATTTAGACAAGTGTTGGCTAAGTTTTTCATCGGGAATCAGGACCTGCTGGAAGATCCCGCATAAAATAAGGCCATTATAGATTGTCTAGTGTCTCTGTGTTGAGAAGGCATGGTCTGACCAAATACTTGCACAAACACAGTGGAAGCTTTGCCAAGGTGGCTCAATCTATTGTTTAAAAGAATGTCGAATAGTATCGAGGTGCAGCGAAGAAGCGACCTCCCAAACAGTGAGGATGCCTCATTCAAGCTCCGGTTCTAGCTTTTTTGAACCCAGATCGTTCAGTTCACGTCGTCTGTGACGTTCAGCGCGTTGCGATTGGCTGCACTTCGCTACAAGAAGATGCCAACGCCGATAAAGACCTCGTTCAGGGCTTTTTTATTGAGATGCAGGACCTACGGGAAGATCCCGCAAAAATGACAACGATTGCTGATTGATTAGTGCCTCAGTCTCAGGAAGGCTTGGCCTAGCCAGCTGCTTGCACAAACACGATGTGAACCGGCAATCGTGCCTGAGTATTACCAGAAAGCTGTCAAGGGATTTTAACCTTTCTATGCCAAGACGCTACTCAAAATGTAGAACACCCTCGTCAAAGTCAGGGCTCACCTGCTTGGCTGTAAGATGGTTGTGATCTATACAAATAATGCAATATTGCGTCTAGCTTCGTCGTCAGGACATGTATTTAGATAAGTACGAGATGATTATCCTTTTTCACCAAGCATAGCTTTAGGGTAAGGTAGAAGCCGGGTGTGATGGCGAGTTGCCCTGACCATAAAAGATCGCATGTAACGATGGTGACACCGCCAAATGATGAGGCGATACTTAAAGCGTACTGGCTAAACGCAACATGTGGTCCGTTGCCGAAGCTTTGATAAGTTATCTCGATGAGGTAGAGATCGGGCCATTCACGGTCGTGATATACAATTTTTTTTGCGGACACATCCAGGATTTTACTGAATCCATACCACAATCTTGCACAGTCGGATGCGAGGAGCTCGGCTGCAGAAGGAGCAGCGTCTTTACCATTTAGTGTAGGTAAGCTACGCCCCAATGACGCGTTTCTGAATCGCTGCTGGTGCCTCAAGCTAGGCAGTGCGATGGCAAAACTCAATTAACGATTTCGGGATCTGGGTTAACACAGTCTTGGCCGTACGCCGTGTTTCTAAAAAAAAGTTTAAATTGCCGCTATACACGACAGAGCTGATGTGAAAGAGTGAGCCTTTGCCGGCACTGATTGATGATCACAGAGGGCATATTCCCTCGTAAAACGTTTTGCAGGCCGCGGGTGCTTCAAAGATGCGTTCAGTTTCTGGTGAAACAAGAAAGTAACCCCGGCCAAAATTCTTGAGGGAGTTTGAGGTTCCACTTCGGCAAGATTGCCTTAGTGCCTTAGTGTCGTGGTAGCTTCAGACCTGTCACACATTCAGTTTCTTAAATAAAGACAGGATCACTCGTTGTGTCGCGCTCATACTAGAAGGGGGCGACTGATCTTGCGGTAAGTATATATTTTGGTCGGAAGCTGTTACAGCGGTCACTTGGAGACGAGCGTGGTTGCAGATGATTGAAGTTAAAGGGAATGGGTTGTCACCTCGATGACTTCTTTGTGCTTCGTACTTATCTAATCAATTATGCGACTACGAATTCCGCTTCGATGGTGCTGATTTGAACAGGTATTAGATAGAGAAGGCGGTGTACTTTCATTACCCAATGCGCGAATGTAGTCTGACATTCAGTGGCAATGTAAGCAGTCTCTAGTACGCAAGGGGCATTCCTTATGGATCGTTTGGGTTTGCTTAACCACTGCTTCCCCACGGTACTCTTGCGGAGTCATTAACTGTCAGTAAAATAGCACTTATGGAGCGACTTTTTTGCGCTCGTTTAGCTCCAAACGTCTAAGCCCGTAGGAGCTCCGATCTTCTATGTCTTCTAAGAGCCCTTCACGATCGCTTCAACGACCAGTAAGCCCGGCTTGTATACACGTTCCGTGTGGATGAATTTGGATGGATTCAAGCTGTAACCACAGTGTGTTTTGGGCTGTCGTCGTCGTGGTTCTTGCGCTTGCAGTAGAGCTAGCTAGCTCCATGAGGCAGATCCAGCTCGTTGGTGACTACTTGAATGTCATCGTGGTCTCAATGGCAAAGTGTCAAAAGTCCGAGACTCGTGCAGCGAATATGCCGAGCGCAGCGAGCGCCCCCTTATTGTGGAGCGGCATGGCCGTATATTGCCGGGTGATGGCGGATGTGTTAGGTCAGTACTTGGAGAAGAATAAAGACCTTTATCATCGGATACTTTTTCAGCGTCTACACCGAGAAATCTCCTAATAGAGCCTGTCGCGGCGACCGTTGCTGCTGTGGGAGCTTGTTGAGCCATATTTATTGGACCATGAGGGCGGACTTCTTGTGTAAGTATGCTTAGGAGAGCAAACATGGTATAGTACAGATTGGAATGAGAATTCAGACGAAGCTGTCACATTTGCACGGTGTCTCAAAAATCAAGTGTGAATTTCCTCAATATAGTTTGAGTGTGCGTAATCAGGCGAGTATTTCCGTACAATCGTATCAAGACAATATAGCACAATCATTTATATTTCATACAAACGACAAAACTCTGGTAGAAGAGGTTCGACCCACACGTGGGCTGCTAGCCGCACGTCAGACAAGAAAGGCTATTGCGTGAAATAATAAAGTGTTCACAAGAATTTGAGTCTACAAATTATCGATCCTAATTATGCGTACTCTTGAAGTAGCACAGTGAATCAACCGTGCTAGTAACTTTAAAGTTCTCGGTTCCACTCCCGGTAGGAGCACAATAACTTAACTTCTGCGCGTTTGTTAATGCGGACTCCGAGTATCAGAGTTTTCTGAGCAAAAAGCACCGCAAACCCAACCGACGCAGCAGCTGGCCCTCCACGCATGGTACAGTTGCTCGAAATACCACTTTTCATGAAGTCTTCGATTCGCGCGTTAGACATTGTTCGTCTTGCGCAATTCGAGGAAGATGTCACCGGCGATCATACGTCTTGCTGGTACTTGATCCTAATATCTCACAGTGCAACGTGTAAAAACGATGTATATTTGGCAATACGTGTAACTCGAATTTTCTTTTTTGCGTTTGGATCTGATAGCGCATATCCCTCTCATTGACGTTATTTAAATTATCCTAATATTGACGCAAACCGTCCTGCTGTTGTATACTAATTATCTTATCCTATATTATCACTCAATAAGTAAAAAGCGGTTCACTCAGGTTTGACCTTTGAACCCAGGCTTTGATTTCATTTTGCGTAGACTCGCTGTGTCAAAGCCTTTTTTGTGCAAGGCGCACGGTAGGATCTGATTTGATAATAAAAAGTGTCATGTTCACCGTTTGTTTTGTGAAGCGGTATTAGCTGCCTCATCTTCGGTATATCCGAGAATACTACGCGCTGAAGACTTTTTCATCCAGATGTTTTTTATGTAAGGAAAATTTAATTGATGCACAATAAAATGAGGCATGTAGTACTCTGAAATACTATCGTGATGAAAAGAATAAGTGCATAGTGTATTTCGTATACCTTGACTGCACGAGGTTCAGACAGAATCGTATGATAATATAGTACTATTACATTATATTATATTTTTTTACGTATTACTTCTCATCTGTCTGACTTCACTTTTTGTATATGTGCTACAACTCAGCTTCTGAAAAATATGTAGCCTTTCGTCATTTTGAAATCAACTTTAGGAGTGTGTGCAACGACGAACTTCTCGAAAGGAGCCAGCCCCAAGCTATCGGCTGGAGAAAGATTACGTTACGCTTTTTGTATAGACAAAAGGCAACTACGTGAGCGTCAGCCTAGGCGCTGAGAGATGCCATTTCCATCGTCTCGGTGCGTAATGATCTGACTAACTCAACATCGACGTCTCTTATCGTTCTTTTCTTCAGTATTCCAAATCCAAGTAAACGCTCATCAAAATCCTCTTTTCTTTTGCCACCAACCGTAAGTTTAAGCGCTAGCAATTCTGAGGTGGCCAGAACAGTCAAGACACCGTCGCCTGGGTTTAAGCGTCCAACGAAGAGACTACAATTTTCAGTCAGTGTCAGTAATAAAACGCCGGAAAAAGAGACTCAAAAGAAAGCCCAAGTGTCATCAACTATCTTACGACCAATATCAGCTGCCTCAAGCTTTGTATCCTCAAGCTGTTCTGATACACAATCGGAGAACATCCGCGTACTGCTTCGTATCCGTCCGTCGTCCAGTCGAGACAAAAAGAAAGCGGTCGAGGTCGCACCAGATCACCGTGGTGTGACGTTGGCTCCGTCATCACAACAGGAGAAACGCTTTGGTTTTGATCGCGTCTTTATTGAGACTTGCGACCAGGACGAGATATTTCAAGATGTAGGACGAGTTGCGGTTGACAATACAATTCAGGGCTATAATGGCAGTATCTTCGCATATGGACAAACAGGTTCGGGAAAATCATTTACAATGCTTGGAGGACCGATGGTAGCTGGGCAAGACCTGCGACACTCACCGTTACGTGGACTGACGCCACGTATTTTAGATTATTTGTTCTTGCGCTTAGCAGCACTAGCAAAAGAACGCAATACAGCATTCTATGATGGACAAGAACAGGAACGTGCGCTTCAGTATACCCTTGCATGCTCGTATCTGGAAATTTACAATGAAAAAGTATTTGATTTGTTGGAACCTAGTGGCTCTGTTGCTGCGCAGCAGCCCAAAAATCTTCGAGAAGATCGAAATAAAGAGGTTTATGTTGATCAATTACGGGAGATCGATGTGGGGAGTGAACAAGAGGCATTGACTTTGCTACAGCTAGGTGCACAAAATAGACATATCTCGTCAACGGAGATGAACCGCGAAAGCTCGCGTTCACACACAGTGTTTTCAGTAAAGTTGGTAGTAGAAGAGCGCACGTCAGCGGGTGTGAAACGTACACGGCGTTCACGTTTACATTTAGTAGATCTAGCAGGTAGTGAAAAACAACGACAAACACGAGTCCAAGGCAAGCGTCTGAAGGAAGCTGCGCAGATCAATAAGTCGTTATCAGCGCTAGGCAATGTCATTATGGCTTTAGTTGATGTAAGCAACGGCCAGAAACGTCACGTGCACTATCGCGACTCAAAGCTTACGTATCTATTGAGAGATGCGTTAGGTGGTAATGCTATTACGAGTATTGTCGCTACTATTTCACCTGAAGAAACGTACTTTACGGAAACATTGAGCACGCTCAAATTTGCTCAGCGTGCCAAATTCATTAAGAATAATGCCGTTCAAAATGAAGATTCAGACTCGCTGGTACCGGTGCTCAAAGAGCAGATCGAGAAATTGATGCGAGAGATCGCAGTTTTGCGTAGCGACGGTCGTATTAGTGGTTCTGCCCCTTGTGACGATGTACCTAATGTGGAGCCGTCAAATGTTGTGCACGTGAATGGGTTTGCTGAGGCTGAAACAAAGTCTCAAGTTAATGATAAGAAGCAAAACCGATGGGAGCCAGCGTTAGATATAATGCAAAAACTTTTGCGTGCAAGTGGGGCTTGGCCTCCGATGGACGGGGGGGAGTTGAATGAAGAAAATTCGCAGCAGCTAGAGCGTGATGTGGTAGAAGTTCGCTGCGATCGCCTTGAAATGCTGCTTTATCGTATGATATGTCGCTTTGAGGAGTACAAAGAGGTCACGTTTGACCCTCATCGATTGAAGTATGATCGACGGTCGCAACAATTAAAACCAAGCAGGCTGCCAGCCCCACGAATGTCAAAGCTTCCAGTACCCAAACGATACAGCGGTGCTACTGTCCGTTACCATCAAATAGAAAATCAGGAACACTCTGCTGATGACGAAGGCATCAAGGGGAAGCGGGAGTGTGAAATACATAGGAAGCTTCAAGAGCAAGAAAATCAAATTAGGGAGCTATCGCAGCGATCACAAGAAGCTGAGGCAGAGAATGATCTTATTCGGCAAGAACTCTGTGAGCTACTCGAGTGGAAGGCATTTGTTGAGGAAGAGCGACGCCGAGCGAGTGATGGCGTGCCCATCGATCCACAGCTGGAAAGCGAAGATGACGAATTGGAGACGCCGATTCTCGAAGCTTCGACTGTACCAAGCGAAGAGATGCAGGAGATGCAAGAACTTCTCAATGTCTACCGTTCGCTATACGACGAAGTGACGGAGCTGATGTATACAAAGAGACCGATGTTATGCATTCCACCGAGCCCTAAATCAGGGTCATCAGTGGTCACCGACTCTGCCTCGACCTGCTATGCTTCTGGTGATGAGGAAGAAATTGGAGACGACTGCATATCAGTGGATGGCTTTGATGCAAGCGAAGACGGTGATGTAGGAGCCAGTGATACGTATCGTGAGATTCGTCGTGTAAATGCACTGAGCTTGCGTTTGGAGCGACAGCTTGATTATTACCAGGATGCTATTCAGCGTCTTGAAAAAGAGCTGCAAACCTCACAGGATGAACTTGAAACGTCCAGTGCTGCAACGAAATTTGCTGAGTTTCAGCTTCAGCAGTTGCGATCTCTGGCTGCTGATGAAGAATCTAAGCAGATTTATAAACTGCAAGCGAGACTCAAGGATGTTAAGCAAAGAGTCCGCTCGCAACATGAAGAAATTGCTCAAATATTGGACAAAGAGGCAGCGGAAGATGGAAAAGCTCTACATCATGAGCAATTTAGAATCAAGCGACTCGAAACCTCAAGTAGTTTTGAAGAGGGCAGAAGTGATAATGAAGAACTCGCGAGTGCACTCGAAAAGGCTCAAAGGCACATCAAAGAGCTTGAGCAAGAAATATTAGATACGCCCGAGGTAGCCATGACAACGACGAAGGTAACCAGTGAGGAGGCATCTCTTCAGCTTCTGACATTGTTAGATCAAGTTTTGAAGGATAATTCAAAGCTCTTGACAGCGGTGCGTGCCCTTCAGAGCAAGCGATTCCATGATGGCGTACATTGCCAGTTAAGTTCGCCCGTGCCAGCAGTGGCTACTGGGTGCGGAAAGCAATTTGATAGCGCAGGCGAGGACCGCAAAGCCGATCAATTCACTCCATTACGGCAAGAAATTTCCTCGTTACAATCTCAGCGAGATCTAGATTACAACACCGTCACTGCAGATGCAGACTTATGTGACCATATAGCGCCCGATCAATAGAGCAAGTGAGCTCACAGGTAGTTTATATGCTCCACACGGTAGCAATCAAGTGCTACATACGGCTCAAGAGGGATTTATTTGAGTTGGTATAAAAGAGATGTGTCATTTATTATTAGCCGTGATACACGGAGAATTTGTGATCGTTTAAGAAGCTCGTGTTGGAACAACCTTGTGGTATCTTCCCGACACATCAATACATATACATAAATCCAAATGTATGAAGCGTTTCAGGCATTCGATTTCATCACCAATCATGACGTGGCGATCTCCGGTAAGTGTCACAGCTACTGCACCTTCCATAATCATTCACGCATCACTTGTAGCCAAGCAAAAGATCCAGTCGATCGGCATCGCATATGCTCTTTCGCAACTTCTTCATCTTCACCGGTGTTGTTCAAGTCGTCAACCATGTCACCATCTTTGACCTGAAGAGGAAGTGTGCCCTGCCACTCCACCGGCGCAGAAAAGACTTCACCTCCACTTTAGTTCTTTGAAAAAAATTACCACTTCCACGGCATGATGATGACTTTTTAAAACAAGTTACAAATGACCTGTTTAATGTGATGAGTAAAATTTAAAATAGTCATAAACGAGGTCGATGCGAGATGTCAAACGACAACTTACCTTGCACTTTTCTCAAAGAAAGCTTAGATTTTTACACTCTCCATGCACCAGTCAAATGGCCCAATGAGCCTCTACAGTTATCGCGGTCTTCGCGACCGACACGCTTGATGATAGTATTTGTTAAGATGCCAAATTATTCTCGAACGAGAACGGTCGTAGTGACAGTCCAGAATCCCACCAAACACCACCGCCCTCACCCGGCGATTCACGGCCGAGTCATGCCCGAAAGAAGAGGCGATCACAACACTCAGCTTCTTGCTTCGGAAGTTTCGAACTTTTTGTTCTTATAAATCGATATTATTGTTGCGACACCCTGCCACAAGATCAAGCTCATTGTCAATAAGCTGAATCTTGCTAAAGGATTCTAAATTGCTTTACAGCAAGCGCAAGAGTCACATAGATTCGTGCCGAAATCACCAAGCCCGAATTACGGTATCAGACCTTTTAAATAGGCTCGCGGCGCTGGTGCGGAGCTCCTGATGCAGCGGGGCTGCCGTAGCTCTTTGCTTTGAGGAAGCTAAGCTTAAGTCACTGACCTTACGTTCTATACAAGAACGAGTACAAGAGTAGCGAATCACAATCCGCTACCTCCATGACTTCTCAAGAACTAAGCCAAGTTAAAAACGCTCTTCCGGTCAAAATTGAAAATGTATTAAGCTGTTTTATTTGCGTTTCACTCTCCCCCATCAAACTTGTGAATACCCACAATTCACATTGAACCGTCGCCTCATACGAGGCTCGCGTGTCTAAGACATCGTTACGTCCCTAGGATTCTCCGCTCAATGAGAACCTGTGTTTATGACACGAAAAACACCCAACCTAGCTGATTCTGAGGGCGCTTACGGGCAAAGTTCTTCTTCTTCGTCTGCACGGGGTGCATCTCCGAGCAGTACGCCCGCGGCTTTGCGCCAAGTCCTCGGCAACCGAGCGCCACACACCGCGCCCGCACTGGGTAACAATTTTCCTCGTCGAGGATTCGGAGAAGGTCGACTACAAATCGGATACAC